CTGCACTCACCTCCACTTCTCACCTCTCCTGCTGCTCCTGTTTACTCCTCGCACTGCACTCTGGGAGCTGTAGTCCCCGCCCTGGCCTCTGCGCACTACGCCTCCCAGCAGGCGGCGCGCGCACTTCCTCTTTCTGGCACCGTCCAGCTCATTCGTTGGAAACGGGATTCAAGATGAGGCAACTTTATTGCTCGCTGTGTGGCTGACACTGGGCTGTTCTAGCTGAGCTTACTAGGCTTAGACCATGATACATTTGCACAGTGTGGTGTCACTGTGAGCCCCAGGCAAGGGGGGGTTTAATGTTATGTTACATTTTATTTTTTTAGTTACATTTTATTGTGCTTTTTTAGGAGACAGAAAATAATGTAAAAAAAGACAAAATCCACTGAAAACTTTTTTACATGGTTTTGCATGGAGTGGAAAAGGCCAGCGCCTCTGTCATTGCCCCCCATTACGAAGATTTACCACCACTTCCTCTAACACAGGAAATTATGGGAATGTTCTTCAGTGGGGACACGGAGATAAAACACATTTTAGGGAAGAGTTAGAACTTCTGACAATGTTTTATTGCTGTATGTGCCTTCCTGTCCCTGTGACAACCATGCCTCCTTTTTATTGTATGGTTGTCACAGGAAGTAAGGGGTAATCTCCCCAGTGGGGACAGGAAGTAAGGGGGTAATCTCCCCAATGATGTGGACAGGAAGTAAGGGGTAATCTCCCCAATTATGGGGACAGGAAGTAAGGGGTAATCTTCCCAATGGGGACAGGAATTAAGGGGTAATCTTTCCAATGATGAGGACAGGAAGTAAGGGGTAATCTCCCCAATGGGGTTACAGACAAAAATAACCAGACAGACATTTTAATCCCCCCAAAATGAAAAAAAGATTGCCCCCGCTGGGAAATAAATACTTTTGTAAGAAACACATCATTTCCAGGTGGTCGAATGCAGTGCAGACACCCCGCCCCCTCCAATTTATTGGTGTCAGTGGGATAGTGACCACAAGGAGAGAGTAGCCCCCAAATCATTGGTGTCAGTGGAATAGTGAATTACCATATATAGGCGTGTAGCCATATAAGGTCAGTGATGTCACTGCATCCCGCCCCTGTGCTTATGTCAAGCTGCAGGTGGGGGATTCCCTGCCAATATCTAATTGGGTGGCACAGAATGAGCTTCCTTCCAGGTTCGGAAGAGCTCAGGTTCAGGCCAGATTCTGGACAGGTGTCCCCCATGGAAGACTTCCTGTTCTGGTGACAGCTCAACACTATGGATTTTCCCCTCACTTTCCTTCCCAGTGACCATGATGAGAAGGATCAATAGTGAGGGTTAGATTAAAAGTGAAAGCTCCAGCAGCGGTGTCCCCGGGAGATGATCAATATTTCTAAGTTCTATTATTATACACAAAAAAAACCCAAAACATCCGAGTGTTTATAAACAACAGTGACACACGGAAGAGATACAATGAAATGATGTAACATTAGATGTGTTAATCTCCCAGTATACTGACACTGAGGAAACATGAAGAGTCACAACATCTGGGGGGGTTATATTATGTCTGTGTCCTTTTAAGGAGGTTTCACTTCCTGTCCTGGTGACACATCAGGAAATAAGGTAAATCTCTCCAAAGTGAGGGGAATTCATCAAAACAGGTGTCCCCACAGGAAGATACCCATCCTATTCCTGGTGTAGTGTAACATTTTATATCTCCCATCACTTCCTGTCTGAGGTATTATAGTCACCAGGACAAATAGAGAGGGCGAATCTCCCTACCGGGGACACCGACATCCAATGAAGGCCAGGCAGAGGTTTTGGGTTTAGATTTAATTAAGGGGGAGCCAACAATCGCTATCTATCTATCCCCATGTCTGGTCCCCGTCTGTGCCTGATCCCCTTGTCTGTGCCTGGTCCCCCTGTCTGTGTCCGGTCCCCCTGTCTGTGTCCGGTCCCCCTGTTTGTGTCTGATCCCCCTGTCTGTGTTGGGTCCCTCTGTCAGGTCCCCCTGTCTGTGTCCAGTGACCGGTCCCCCTGTCTGTGTCCGGTCCCCCTGTTTGGTCCACCTGTCTGTGTCTGGTCCTCCTGTCTGTGTCTGGTCCCCCTGTCTGTGTCTCGTCCACCTGTCTGTGTCTGGTCCTCCTGTCTGTGTCTGGTCCCCCTGTCTGTGTCTCGTCCACCTGTCTGTGTCTGGTCCTCCTGTCTGTGTCTGGTCCCCCTGTCTGTGTCTCGTCCACCTGTCTGTGTCTGGTCCTCCTGTCTGTGTCTGGTCCCCCTGTCTGTGTCTCGTCCACCTGTCTGTGTCTGGTCCTCCTGTCTGTGTCTGGTCCCCCTGTCTGTGTCTCGTCCACCTGTCTGTGTCTGGTCCTCCTGTCTGTGTCTGGTCCCCCTGTCTGTGTCTCGTCCACCTGTCTGTGTCTGGTCCTCCTGTCTGTGTCTGGTCCCCCTGTCTGTGTCTCGTCCACCTGTCTGTGTCTGGTCCTCCTGTCTGTGTCTGGTCCCCCTGTCTGTGTCTCGTCCACCTGTCTGTGTCTGGTCCTCCTGTCTGTGTCTGGTCCCCCTGTCTGTGTCTCGTCCACCTGTCTGTGTCTGGTCCTCCTGTCTGTGTCTGGTCCCCCTGTCTGTGTCTCGTCCACCTGTCTGTGTCTGGTCCTCCTGTCTGTGTCTGGTCCCCCTGTCTGTGTCTCGTCCACCTGTCTGTGTCTGGTCCTCCTGTCTGTGTCTGGTCCCCCTGTCTGTGTCTCGTCCACCTGTCTGTGTCTGGTCCTCCTGTCTGTGTCTGGTCCCCCTGTCTGTGTCTCGTCCACCTGTCTGTGTCTGGTCCTCCTGTCTGTGTCTGGTCCCCCTGTCTGTGTCTCGTCCACCTGTCTGTGTCTGGTCCTCCTGTCTGTGTCTGGTCCCCCTGTCTGTGTCTCGTCCACCTGTCTGTGTCTGGTCCTCCTGTCTGTGTCTGGTCCCCCTGTCTGTGTCTCGTCCACCTGTCTGTGTCTGGTCCTCCTGTCTGTGTCTGGTCCCCCTGTCTGTGTCTCGTCCACCTGTCTGTGTCTGGTCCTCCTGTCTGTGTCTGGTCCCCCTGTCTGTGTCTCGTCCACCTGTCTGTGTCTGGTCCTCCTGTCTGTGTCTGGTCCCCCTGTCTGTGTCTCGTCCACCTGTCTGTGTCTGGTCCTCCTGTCTGTGTCTGGTCCCCCTGTCTGTGTCTCGTCCACCTGTCTGTGTCTGGTCCTCCTGTCTGTGTCTGGTCCCCCTGTCTGTGTCTCGTCCACCTGTCTGTGTCTGGTCCTCCTGTCTGTGTCTGGTCCCCCTGTCTGTGTCTCGTCCACCTGTCTGTGTCTGGTCCTCCTGTCTGTGTCTGGTCCCCCTGTCTGTGTCCGATCCCCCTGGATTTGCTGTCTGTAGAATCTGATCCTTTTCTAGTACTAATAACCAGAGACATGGACCCCTCCATCCCCCACCAGCCAACCGATCCTGTGCCCCCTGCCCCCTGTATGAGATATAATGGAGGGTCAATGGATGAACTGCCATCTAACAGACTGTAAAGTTCTGTACACTAATATAATGAAAGCAGAGGGCGGCCATGGTTCCCAGGCCTGACAGGCATCCGGGGGGTTAAGTTACCAGCAGAAGAGTTAGCAACAGGGACACAAACACAAGACAAGAAGTGTCCTCTGCACATTACTAGGCGTTCCTCCGTCTCCTAGCAACCGGGGAAAACTTCCTAGGCCGGGAGAGAGGAGGCATGGCTGCTGGGGTTGCTAGGAGGGGGGCAGTGTGAGAGACAGGGCACCAGGCAGCTGGTCTGAGGAGCTAGCACTCTAAATTCCTTTACTCAGCATCACAACCTTTGTACTTTGAGGTCAGGTAAGGATTTCTCTGATACTTCTGTGGGATGTTGTGCTGGGATATGAATGGACACAGAGATGTTTACTGGGCAGGAATATAAACAAACATCTATCTATCTATCTATCTATCTATCTATCTATCTATCTATCTATAAATACAATGTGTGTGTATATATATATATATAAGTTCATTTAATCGTTATGTTTATTTTTTACTACAGCCTCTGTTGTTCTGATACAATTATTTTTTTTAACACCGTCACGATAAATGTTTAAAAAAAATTGTGTTTGTTTTTTTTTTGGTGCATTCTGAAAAAAAAAGACTATTATTTCTATTTATTTTTGTATCATTATTTGTGGTTATTTAATATTTATTATAGTTATTATTGCTTAGCAATATATTTTTTACTAGAAGGTTGAGTAAAATGAGTTTTAAAGTGGAGCTTGCATCAAAATAGAAGGTCCTCTTCTCAGTTAGATCCCTTCGCCACCACCTTAGAAAAAAAAAAAACCACACACCAAGATTAGGGGAAAAGTTCAAAAATATACGTAATTCCAAGGTCCCCTTTACACGTTTCCATTCTGTTGTTCCACACTTCAAGGTGTTCAGCGTTATGGGATCTCATTCAATGAAAGGGCTGCCAGGGTACCAGAAAGGACATAAAAAAACGCACCTGTTCCCAAAGCAGCACGCCACAATGTACAGTAATGAGGTGCGTTACAGAGATGTGTTGGGGTGCCATTCAGAATGAATGCAATACCATAATGCAAAGGTGGCCTGTACCCCCATCTATGCCCATGGTACCTAGGTGAGGGTATGTTTATTTTTTTACTATGGCTGGGGTGAATCCTGGAAATGCTGAGGATCCCAAAACTGGTGAGGGTGCTAGAATTTCTTCTTGTGAGATTACAAAGCATTCCCTTGGATCCCGCCAGAAGGCCCATGATGACACCTGCTCCTAGGTGCCATTGGCAGAAGGTATATGGTGTATTTATCTTTTTTTAACTTTTCTCCGAATCTCTGTTTTTCCTTTTTTTTATTTATGGCTGGGGGGGGGGAATTTAAATTTTTGATTCAAGTATTGATTTCATGAAATAGAACCCTGCGTCATTGTATTTTGGGACCAGTAATTCAGTAATTCCACATCAGACAGAAACTCACAGTTTAGCTACTCAGGCCCCCTCAAGCTAGCCATCCACGGTACAACTTACAATCTTGCCATGTATAGTCTTCTTTAGATCTACCAACAACTATGTTGTAAGAACACCTTCCTAACAAGCCATTCAGGTTCTTCTGTCTAGTAAGATAGACACTCATGCAACATATAGTAGTTGTTGGTGAATCTGCAGGATACAGCAAAGTGTGATGCCAGCTTAGACAGTTGCTACCTGAACAGGTGCCCCCCATTGGAACATTTCTCCTCTATTACTGCTCCATTACTACTTCATCCTACTATTACTACTCCATTATTACTTTAATGTGACAACTGTACACTTTTGGATTTTCTACCACTCTCTGTGGTCACCAGGACAATTAAAGGGTGAAACTTCCCAATCATAGAGTTCTCTCTGCAACGTTATGGGACACTGCAGGGTGTACGCCAGGGTCTGCATTTTATTAATGGGACATTAAATGTAGGCCACAGCAGGCCATGCAGTATCTGCTCTCCTCTATACATAGGCCTCTATGTGACTGAGAGAGAGGTTGTCAGGAGGGGGAAGAGTGGAGAGGCCAAACAGCGTCTTATTGGCAGGACTCTAAGGCAGCTGTTTTATAGGAGCTCCAAAAGCAGACATTTATGGCTAACCAAGTCATATTAGTAACCTGCCTCAAACTGATCAAGGGACCTGCTATTTCATAAATGACAGGTCCTCCCTAATTTTATATCTGTTTCTGGCTGTGAAAAGGTCTGACCATTTTTTATTTCCTCTATATTTTTTTCCAGGTCTCCCATCCATCCTTTACAATGTCTGTTTCTCTCAAGGAGCTTTTAAAACTGTCCATAGGTTCTCCTGAACTCGGGGCCGTCAACTTCAATGCCCTCTACTCTCTGCTTCATGGCCTCCTGGAGCATCTACAGCTCAATGACGTACAAAGAAATCTGTCCCCAGAAGAGAGGGAGTTCATACAGCCGCGGTCAGTGCAAGTGGAGGACACCGGTAGACCGTCCACTCTCTTCCACCAGCTGCAGGATAAAGTGTCCAAGATGGAAGCCAGGGTTCTCCAGCTAGACTCTCTTCCGAGCTTTGCCAGCCTTCTCCAAGGCAGCCAGTCGCAGAACAAGCCCGTGGAGGAGATGTGGCAACTCATGCAGCTCAAGAAGCAGACGGAGGTCAACGAACAGGGAGTGACTAAGGTCAGATGTGTCCAAGCTTGGCTGCACAGAAAGATATATTTGAAGTCTACTGTAACCAAAAACTAAAAATGGTTGGAAAGAATTAGCTAGCATGGCAAATTTTAAAGAGAACCTGTTCCTTTGCTCAATTAAGGTAAAGTGACAGGTACTTCTGAACATTGCCCCCCCCCCAACCACTAATACACACCTTCCCCATTTTCCCCCACTCCTCCAATCCTGCCAGAGCCCTCGGAAATACATGGTTCTTCTGAAATATTGGTGACCTTCTCCCCTTCCGCCCAATATGCAGTGCTTGGGCAGAATCACAGCCAGAAAACCTCTCAATATTGCAAGTAGTGTTGGAGCTTGCCACTAACCCTTCCCCTGTTCTAAAACATTCCCATTGGGCCATCACTATGGTGGGCAACCTAACTGGCCAGTAGTAATGTAAAGGAAGGGGGAGCTTTTTATTGCAAAGGAGACTTTTTTTTTGCCATAAATGCTTCTTCCTTGCCTGCTAAACCATCCCCTAAAACATATGCTGGCTGAATGCCATTCACTCAGCATTCTTACCACTAGAAGGAGCCAAGGAGCATAGGAAATTCCTCTGTTTTTCGGCTTCATCTAGTGGTGAGAATGTTGTGTGAACTTCATCTGGCCAGTGTCGGCGGATGATTTATAAATCGTTCCCTAACCCTTACATGCTCATCTTGGTGTACAGTCTCAGCATATTATGGGTGCCAGGATGCAGTAACTCCTGTAAACATGTGTGGGATTTATCTCATCCATGGCTGACCAATCAGGAGGCTGAAGACTCTAGACCTGGAAGAAGATCAGTGGCGGCGATGGAGCGACAAGCAAGAGTGCATATGTCACATCACTAGAGGAGAGCACTGAGTGGGGTAAGTCTGCCATATCATGGCTAGAGCTCTGGGGACCCATTTTTACTTAAGTGGGGTGTATTTGTTTTATTTTAGGACAGATTGTAGTTAAAGCCAGGTTATAATGACTTTTAAATGGATATGTAAGTGGTTTAAAAGGTTTTTTTTTTATAAATTCATACGGAACTGTTAATAATCTAATGATTTTGAACTTGTGATGCTTTCTTCTCGCTAGTCCATGAGTGCCTTCCAGGAACTTCTCAGCACCTTCAATAGCCTCCAGGAAGCCAACAGCTTGATCCAAGAAAAACTGGCCTCCCTCAATGACCTGGTAATTAAGGTAAGTTCTCAATAACAATACAGTCACTGGGCCTGATTTCTCAGGTTGACTAATGGAACATGTAAAGCCTGTAATAGCCATCCAAAAGTTGTCTTTCTTCCTCCAGCTCCAAAAGTTTCCTTCCCCCAGTGAAGCTTGGGAAGACACTTACTGGAAGCTGTAAGCAATGTGACAGTTCTCCAGAAACTTGGGCTAACTTAGCCCAGTTGTGACTGACTCACTGGCGCTTTACAGGGCCGGATTTCCCACAAGGCCAACCAAGACCTGGCCTCAGGGCAGCAGGCAGTGGAGGGGCAGCAGGGGTGTGGAATTCCTATCTCCAATGCCTGGGACATGCAGTTCCGGGCGCCAGGCGGGTAGCTGTTTTCTACATTTAGCCCAGCTTTGGGCAAGCAGAGCTGAATGTACAACGGGGAAGCCTGCGTTTGCTTTGTACAAATGATCTCGGTGATGTTGCCGAGATCACTTGTATGCAGCCTGCAGGCCTGCCATTCACCATGGGGGGGGGGGTTTGGCTGGTAGGGGGGCGCATTGAGGAACCAGGCGTTGGGGCAGCAGAGAGAGTAAATCTGTCCCTGGCGCTTTGTATTAGAAACTTACCTGTGTGCTGTTTGCATGTACAAGGCCTTGGGTCACAGAGTTTGGTGGACCCACTGTGTCATCAGGGGCAACAGCTGACTATTAAGCAGGACATATGCAAGGCTGGTGCAAACCATGGTCAGAGCAAAGCTGATAGCCAGATGAAGCTCAGACAGATCAACCCTAAACAGTTGAGATTTCAGACAGGTAGAGTGCAAACTGACAATACCAGAGGTAACAGGCTGTTGAGAAGGATATTTAGATTGTAAGCTCTCAGGATCAGGGCCCTCTTTACCATCTTGTCTTGAATTGTATTGTGATTGTAATGTCTTCCTTATATTGTAAAGTGTGCAAACTGTTGGCGCTATACAAATCCTGTATAATAATCATAATAATAATAACCACAGACAAGCTAAGTACAAATTCATTTCTAACAATACTTAGGAGTAATTCCAGGCATTACCAGACAAATAGAAGCCATACAGACCTCTATCCTGAGCATGAGTAGACAGACTAACATACTGATCAGGCACAGGCTGAATGTCCAGCAGCCTATTTAAGCTTTCATTATTAGAGCAGGAGTGCATTGCAACAACCTGAGCTGTAGTGCTGCTTAATAACCAGCAGATGGCGACAGATCCTTCTCTGTTAGTTTAGAAATGTCTGTGCTTCAATTTTGTGCTTTTTCAGTGTCGAAGTTTTTTTGTTACTGAAACCAGAGTTTGATGCTGTGTCTTACAGATAAACATTCAGGAAGTGGAGAGAAGACTACAAGACCTGGAGGGGCGGGCACAAAATATGCCTCTGCTGATGGACAGCATGGTAAGACTTTCAAAGGCCAACCACTACCACACATAAAATACACTCACTAACCCCAGTTAGGCGATCGTTATAAAATGTCTTTATAAAGTACCTAAGTCTGAATTTTTATCAGAATTTTGTAGTTTCATGCACAGTAAAGGAAGGGATAATACTCTAAGGCAGAGGTAGGCAAACTTCAGCCCTCCAGCTGCAGTAGAACTACAAATCCAAGAGGCATTGCAAGATTCTCACAGCCACAGGCATGACTCCCAAAGACAAAGGCATCATGGGATTTGTAGTATTGCCACAGCTGGAGGGCCGGAGTTTGCCTTCCCCTGCTCCGAGGCAATCAGGTTTTATTACATTTCACAGTGCACAGGGAGCTGGCCAACAGGAGGGGAGAACATGCGTGTCCCAGCCAATCAAAGGCTGGGACGGTCCTTGACCAAGTTGCATTGCCTAAACTGCAGCAGAGAAATGTGAAGTCAGATCCTGCCTGACAGCGATGTCTGATTTCCTTCCTAACACTTAACCCAGTAGAGCTAAGGCCAGCAATAAGTTAACCTCTAAACCAGGGGTGGGCCATTCCGGCCCTGCAGTTGTTTTAGAACTACAAGTCCCATGAGGCATTGCAAGACTGACAATTAGAGGCATGACTCCCAGAAGCATGATGGGATTTGTAATTAAAGAGCTGGAGGGCCAAAGATGCCCACCCTGATGTTCTATCAAAGTTTGTGACTGCGTTAGAATGTGTGACCGGTGACGTGGTCACACATTTTAACGTAATCCGGCCCAGTTTTTCAGCGGTGGAATGTGTGACCGGTCACGTGTTCACACATTTTAACGTAATCACGCCCACTTTTTCGGCGCTGGAATCTGTGACCGGTAAAAGGTGAAGAATTCCAACGCTTTCTCAGCTGTTCCAGGGCAGATCGGCATCGCAGATGGTATGTGCAGGAGAACCGATCTGCCCTGGAACAGCTGATCGGTCCTAAAATGTCACTTCTATCCGACTCTGTGAGTGCGATGTCACATTCCACAAAGTCGGATAGCAGTGACATTTCAGGACCGATCAGCTGTTCCAGGGCAGATCGGTTCTCCTGCACATACCATCTGCGATGCCGATCTGCCCTGGAACAGCTGAGAAAGCGTTAGAATTCTTTACCTATTGGCGGTCACACATTCCACCGCCGAAAAACTGGGCGTGATTACGTTAAAATGTGTGACCACGTCACCAGTCACACATTCCAACCCAGTCACAATGTTTGAAAGAACACCGGCTCTAAAGTTACTCCTAAACCAACTTTTATGTATTCTGCTCTGATAATGAGCTGAAACCGCAAAATGCAATGATCCGATTGCTAGAACAGACTTATCTCTAGTCGCGTGATATAAGTGGTAATAGTGACCTGATCAGTCCTTGTAAAGGGTGATTTTGTTATGACAGGTCCACTTTATCATGTCTACCTTTGCTTGCAGGAGAGTCTGCAAAAGAGATTGAATACTTACCCCGAGGCTGGAGATCTGGTGACGTGGCCATCGCTGCATGACGCACTGACCGACAAAGTGAGTATGCAGTATATAAGGGTATATACAGCATATATTATATAACAGTGGTTCTCAACCTGTGTAACCTCAGGACCCACATTTGTCCTCGGTCATTAAGTCGTGACCCAAGTCGCAGTGCAATGCACGGAATTAGGGTACCGCGTGTTCCGCTGCGGGCGTACGAGCTGTGGGTGGGAGGTGCGTTTGGGGTACCAATCAAATGAATGGCAACGCAACACAACACACCTCCCACACCAGAATGCACGGTAGGTGCGATTGCGTGGTACAGTGCGTTAATCGCACGATACTATGTGATTAGCGCACTGTAATAGTGTGAACGGACGCTCAAAAACACTGACAGACACACCCAACCACAGACACAATCTGATGCACACCACAAAAAAATAAATGTTTTAAATTTTTTTCAGGTCCACCCAGTCTCCCTACCTTACGAGAACTGGAGTGGATCCTCAGCCTGGCTCCAGTGTGGGCTGCTGTGCTGTGACGGAGCTCCCTCCATATGTGCATTGCTTGTACAGCTCCCTTGCGTGCCCTGTAGAGGTTCCAGGAGCCAGAATGTGACATCACTCTGGTCCAGGCACCTCTATAGGACACGTGTGGGAGCTGTAAGCAATGCGTGTATGGATGGAGCTCCCTTGCAGCCATAGCCCCATCCCATCTCACCTCAAGCTGACACTCGGCGCCGGGCAACATATTTTGAATGGCTGTTTGGCGAGAGAACTGACAGTGCTGCGCTAGGGGGAGGCAGAGGAGCCTCTCACCTAGAAAAGTGGAAGGCATGCGACTACCCACTGAACACAGGGTCGCGACCCACTTTTGGGTCACGACCCACCAGTTGAGAACCAAGGTTATATAAGGGTATGTCCTTCGTGGGCTAGTAGAAGCACTCAGGCAATGATCTCCAGCATGTTCCTCGTCTGTCTCATCTGACGACTGTCTCTGCACACCACAGAGTTCAGACTGGGCTCTCAGCAATGACACAAAGCAGCAGAACGTGAAGAAGGTTCTGAATGGTTTGGGGACCCTCGGCAGCAGGCATGAGGTACTGCAGAATCGAGTTCAGAGTATCGAGGAAGAGCTGAAACGGCTGGACCTGGAGATGCGTGAGTGGCGGCTAATGCACTGTTTACTAGAGTTCAGCATGCCTGATCAGGACCGGGCTGAGGGGTAGGCAGAAGAGGCGGCTGCCATGGGCACTTCATCAGGAGAGGGGAGCAAAAAGGACCCGACCTGCAAACTGTATTGTAGATGTAGTTCACAGCTCATAGGGTGGGGGGGGTAGGGTCTTGGGAGCTAAAGGACCTGGTGCCACACTGTGCTTGACCTCACCTGACATGACTCCTGGACTGAAATGGCTTCCTCTGATTTCACTGCACACTGAGAGCTTCTCACAATGTGCATTAGAAGCTGCAGCAAGATAGAAGTTCTTTTAAACATGGAGGCTCAGCATCACACATGGGCATTACCTAGAGCGGTCTGTACGCAAATGCAGCCTGCCTAGGAACGCCCACTCCTCCAGACTGACACCTGCCCATCAAGACATTTTGATATTTGCATAACTCCTCCCAAGAGCCAGCCCACTGGCTCCCTTTTTCTTCTCCTCTCTCCATAACATAGAGCAGAGGTGTTCCGTAGTCCTCCAACATAACTGGAGACAATGTAATTGATAACAGTGCAGGAGACAGAGCGCAGGAAGTTGTCAGGCACGTTCCAATCAGATTCTGTGTAGCCAAACGGGGACCAAATAAAAGAGGTTCGCTGTTAGGGTTCACATACCCTTTAAAGCCCAACACCCTTTTTATTTTGTATTAGTGCAGTAGGGCTAGAGCCACTTCTCTCTGATGTTGAATGACACCCATCAGAATTCAACTCACTTCCTGTGAGCCTAGAGTGTCAAGGCTCCGCCCCCAGCCCCGCACTCACAGTGCAGAAAGTAGCTCTATGTCATTAGATGGCGCTGCTCTCTGCAGCATTTATGATCCACTCAATGCTGTAGAAAGAAAATGGTGAAGAGGACCCGTGATATCACACAAGACACCCGTAAAAGCTATGTATCATGATTTATCTTTGACGGATCGAGGAGTGCTCCAGTGGGATGAAGTTGGGGTTCCCAAGCCCCAGAGTTGGACTTTTTAACCAAGCGTCATTTTCCCCTAATTCACTCCCAATTTCAGAAGCTGTCATCATCTGTAGTCGTGTACGGCTTTCTACAGCTCAGGGTCTGGATGATCACTGCCCATTTACAGCCAAGTAGGACAACATCACGCTCTTGGCAGCCAAGTCTGGTTACTAAGAGCTCCACGCATACACACAGACTTTGTCCCGGCCGTGTGTGTCATCTAATGAGCCAGAGGTGTGTGCGAGCCGGGTCAATGCAATGACTGTGTTGCTATTTACTATGTTCATCCTCCATCCAGCCCCAGGTACCTAGACAGCAATGGCCAGGCACTACCCTGAGTAAGCAAGATAAATTGATTTGTTAATGCCGGGGAAGATTTACAGAGAGGGATTAGTCTGCAAATACAAAACCTTGAAAGCAGGACTGTGACATGAGTTCACATTTCACATTAGAAGTGAGCGATCTTCTGAAAATAACTCTGAAATGAGGCTCGGGGTATCTGAATTAATGAAGTTCAGTCCAAAACTATGAATTTCAGAATAAGCTCTGTTTAGATCTGTGACATCATTGTGCAATAAAATCAATTTTATTTGCATATTGAACCATTGAGTGCTGGTGACCTATCTACGAGCACCTTCTACTGGTGACCTATCTACAAGCACTTTCTACTGGTGACCTATCTACAAGCAAGCACCTTCTACTGGTGACCCATCTATAAGTGACCTATCTACAAGCATCTTCTACTGGCGACCTATCTATAAGTGACCTATCTACAAGCACCTTCTACTGGTGACCTATCTATGAGTGACCTATCTACAAGCACCTTCTACTGGTGACCTATCTATGAGTGACCTATCTACAAGCACCTTCTACTGGTGACCTATCTATGAGTGACCTATCTACAAGCACCTTCTACTGGTGACTTATCTATAAGTGACCTATCTACAAGCACCTTCTACTGGTGCCCTATCTACCGTGTTTCCCCGAAAATAAGACACTGTCTTATATTTTTTTGGGCTCAAAAAAACACACTAGGTCTTATTTTCAGGGTAGGTTTTATTTTTTTTTTAATGAACAACAATCCAAAGTTAACGCAAATCCAAATTAAATAATCCAAAATGGCAAAGTTAAGAATAGGGTGATCAGGGCACTCAGGGGTGCCGTACCTTTCCAAGAGCAATTTGGTAACCAATCGCTGGCCAGAATGAGCGAAACGCACTTTCACTATCGATCCCTCACAGGCGGAGTGCATTTGGTATCACTCTGCCAGTGACAGGAGCCAGCGCTATAGAAAAAGGCTTATGCGGCTCTGCTCCCTCCGCTGCCGCCTCGCTTCCTCTAGCCCTGGCTTCATTGGCACCGCTGATTCTCTCCCACGGCTCTTCAAGTTCCCCCTTATGCCACCATCGGCCCTGGGAATGGTCACAAATAGGTCTTATTTTCGGGGTAGGTCTTATATTTTAGCAATTCCCAAAAATAGTACTAGGTCTTATTTTCGGGGTAGGTCTTATTTTAGGGGAAACAGGGTATAAGCCCCCTATCTACAAGTACCTTCTACTGGTGACCTATCTATAAGTCCCCTATCTACAAGCACCTTCTACTGGTGACTTATCTATAAGTGACCTATCTACAAGCACCTTCTACTGGTGACTTATCTATAAGTGACCTATCTACAAGCACCTTCTACTGGTGCCCTATCTATAAGCCCCCTATCTACAAGCACCTGCTACTGGTGCCCTATCTATAAGACCCCTATCTACAAGCACCTGCTACTGGTGACCTATCTATAAGCCCCCTATCTACAAGCACCTGCTACTGGTGACCTATCTATAAGTAACCTATCTACAAGCACCTTCTGAGACCTATCTACAAGCACCTTCTACTGGTGCCCTATCTATAAGCCCCCTATCTACAAGCACCTGCTACTGGTGCCCTATCTATAAGCCCCCTATCTACAAGCACCTGCTACTGGTGACCTATCTATAAGTAACCTATCTACAAGCACCTTCTGCTGGTGACCTATCTTTAAGTGACCTATCTACAAGTACCTTCTGCTGGTGACCTATCTGTAAGTGACCTATCTACAAGTACCTTCTACTAGTGATCTATCTATAAGTAACCTATCTACCAGCACCTTCTACTGGTGACCTCTCTACGAGCACTTTCTACTGGTGCTTCCACTGATGACCTATCTATAATAGACCTTTCTAGGAGCACCTTCTAATGGTGACCTATCTATAATAGACCTATCTACCAGCACCTTCTACTGGTGACCTATCTATAAGTGACCTATCTGCCAGCACCTTCTACTGGTGGCCTATCTATGAGTGACCTATCTACGAGCACCTTCTACTGGTGACCTATCTATAAGTGACCTATCTACCAGCACCTTCTACTGGTGGCCTATCTATGAGTGACCTATCTAGGAGCACCTTCTAGTGGTGACCTATCTATAAGTAACCTATCTACGAGCACCTTCTACTGGTGACCTATCTATAATTGACCTATCTACGGGCACCTTCTACTGGTGACCTATCTATGAGTGACCTATCTAGGAGCACCTTCTACTGGTGACTTATCTATTCATGACCTATCTACAAGCGCCTTCTACTGGTAATTTATCTATGAGCGATTTATCTATGAGCACCTTCTGCTGGTGACCTATCTATGAGTGACCTATCTATGAGTACCTTCTACTGGTGACCTATCGATGATTCACCTATCTACAAGCATCTTTTTCTGGTGCTTCTACTGGTGACCTATCTATATGAGACCTATCTACGAGCACCTTCTACTGGTGACATATCTATGATTGACCTATCTATGAGCACCTTCTACTGGTGCTTCTACTGGTGACCTATGTATGAGCTCCTTCTGCTGGTGACCTATCCATGAGTGACCTATCTATGAGCACCTCCTACTGGTGACCTATTGAAGTACCTTCTACTGGTGCTTTTACTGGTGACCTATCTATGATAGACCTATCTACCAGCACCTTCTCTATTACCAATTGGTCATTGCGCTGTTTGGTGTGCAGATGGTATCTACAGTACATTGACTTATGAGTGCAAAAAAAAATGAAATCTGCTTTTGAATTCCCTCAGAAGACCAGCAGCCTAGGCATAGATCACATGGCCTCTGACTACCAGGAACACTGTGGGGGGTTTCATGTCATGAGAGACCGCAGGGAGTCTATTGTTCTCACTCAGACAGACCTTGGCTGGTAGACACACGCTAAGCAGAGCCTAAATATTGAATGATCATATGTAATGCCACCTACACGGCCATCTACAGTGCATAGAAAATAAAAAATAAACACACATTGTTCTATTTTCATTAGGATATCATGTGGATCTAGAAAATACTAAAAAGAAAAGACAATAGTTGATCCTGCCAGAAATTGTGTGAGCTGATACCTTCTTTTGCTTTCTGCCCGTGCTGACTGTTATCAATCACCATTGTTCCCAGCTCTCATTGTGAACTACAGAACAGCTCCCCCAATGTTATGTAGATGAGGAGTGAGGGAAGTGTTATGAAGTCCTGTCTTAGGGTGACAATGTTGCTCCTCTATAGATAGTGATCACCCTAGGGCAGGAAGCATTGTTGGCAGAATCACCAAGTAACAAATAATGGGAAAACAAGCCTGAAAAAAGAATATGAATGCAGCCGCAACATCTAAGGACTCATCAGCTGCAACATATTAAATTTTTGTTTTTGAGTTTAGACACACTTTAACTTCTAGTCTAACCTGAATTGCCTCTTCAGCTTCCTAAATAGACTGAAATATAAAAAAGGATTCGTTATTGGGCATCATCACCTTGGCTTTCCAAACTCCATGCTGCCGATTCAGTTTGGCATTGACAGAATCCCGAGCTCTTAAAGTGGAAGTGTATTTCCAACGACCTTGTCTATTTCAGGTAAGAAGGCGGTTCCTGACGATTTGCTGCAGCAGCTAAGTAGCCTGAGACAGGATCTGGAGAAACTCTTCAATGAAAACAAAAAGGTTTGTTACCAGCTGATCATCGGCTATAAGATTTACTGTACAGGGTCCAGATGGGAACTCCACCCAATGCATTCAGGTGGATAAAGAATAAGTAAGGAGGTTGCAGGGGTAATACCAACCTCGTGGCATCTTTTGGTGATTCCAAAATGTCTCTACACCCGTATTTACAATTAGACCCCCCTGCCTGTGCAGAAGATTCATCAAACAGTTTCTGCAGTCACTTGAATCTCAGCCAATTATAATGAGTGTTATTAATGGATTCCCATCTTAAAGGGGAACTACAACCTCCTTTCAATTACAGCAAGGGCTGGATTTACTCTCTCTGCTGCCCCAAGGCCAGGTTCCTCAATGCGCTCCCTACCCGCACCCCCCCCCCCCCCCCTTCCTTACCCCATGGAGAATGGCAGGCCTGCAGGCTACATACAATGTCGCCGAGATCACTCGTACAAAACAAGCTGCTGTACGTTTAGCTCTGTTTGCCCAAAGCAGGGCTAAATGTAGAAAACAACTACCCGCCTGTGCATCAGGAGATAGGAATTCCACACCCCTGCTGCCCCTCTACTCCCTGCTGCCCCAAGGCCGGGCCTTGGCTGGCCTTGTGGGAAATCCGGCCCTGCTTACTGCCAAGGCAGGCGCCATCTTGGCCTCTCTTTGGATTGCAGTTGCCATGGTACTGCCCATGTGATCAGCTATGACACCAGCCATTTGAGGACTTGAAAGTTTGGTTGAGAGCTGAAATAAGCAGACTAGCAACCTTGATAGTTGGCATGCCTTAAAGGTTACCATTTCAGGAGACATTAAATTGGTAGGTAAAGGAAATGGGTTCCTTTAATTAGTATACAGGTATATACTGCATGACTATGCCTTTCCATTGAGTGCTTCCATGTTCCTTTTCCCCTGCAGGACAAGTTGGATATGAAAGCCCTCCTGAACGGCCTCCATGAGCTGAACCTGGCCCTCCAAAAACTGGAAACAAAGACCGATAAACTATCGACGGATCTATCAGAGACTGCGGTGAGGAGATACACCACAAGGCGGCAAGAGAATGTTCTATTAGGGGATCACTAAATATATTCTGTTAAATTCGGGGATGTCCAGAGCCAGGGCAGGGCACTGGGGTAGACAATCCACCTGCTCCCTCCATCTAAGCTACTTTCCCAGTTCATTTATATTCGTTGTGTGGGCTTTTTGGGCTTTATCCATCTCTTTTAGGGTGTTGCAAGGCACCTGGGGCATACTATTTTGATATTATTATTATTATTATACAGGATTTATATAGCACCAACAGTTTGCACAGCACTTTACAATATAAGGAAGACATTTCAATCACAAAACAATACAAGACAAGATGGTAGGGAGTGCCCTGCCCCTGAGGGCTTACAATAGAAAAATGGGGGTGCAAGTGATACATGAGGAGGTCGCTGTGTGGGGATGAATTATGTGAGAATGTGAAGGTTCAGTGGTTAGGTTGAGGTGGGATAGGCTTCCCTGAAGAGATGAGTCTTTAGCGATCGCCTAAAGGTAGTCAGAGTGGGAAATAGACGGACAGGTTGGGGTAAAGAGTTCCAGAGGATGGCAGATATATTGCATTCTCTGTTAGCTAGAGAATCTCCCCAGTAGCCAAAGTGTTCTTGATTCATCCTTTACAGCGTCACTGGTGGCTAATGTATGATCCCTTAGCTTTCCATGCCACACAAGTATAGCAGCTGCCAACCAATCCCTACTATGCTGGTAACAAACTGCCCCTGCCCGCCCAGTTCATGCTGGCCTTGCTTTAGTACTGAGTCTGCCAAGACTCTGCCAAAATGGCGATCAGAGGCTAAAGTTGCAAACATTTCCTTTGTGTTGGCAGTGGTGAGCTCTGGATGTCATTTTGGTAGGATGGGAACTGGCTGGCTCTCCATAATCTGGAACCACTTACTGTACCTTAAAGACTAGAGCACTGATTGGAAGACACGGGGCCCCCTCGTAAGCCAGGCTCTTTAACTGTGGCCCTTTCTGCCCCACTCTCATCAGGCTTGCTTAGGATTATACATGGAATTGAAGAAATAATTAACCACTTCCGGGCCGCAATACGTCTATAGACAGCGGTTGTGGCATCTGTGTGTGCTGCGTGTCCTAAGAAACAGTAATACACATCGATGCCTGGCCAAAGAGCATTGCACATTCTGGCCTTTGGCTGTATTGAGTGACATTCTTGTGTTTATGGCATAGCTGGGCGACTTCTTGGCTGGGTTGAGAAAAAATTCACCATACAGGTTTGAGAACATTTTCTAAATGTTGAAGTTGAACTCTGGGGTAAGCAAATTTGTCCTCATACAAGAGTCATGTGGTGAACTTTATACATTTCTTCCATTAATCCAGTGTGAAACTTGGAGCTTCCTGTAATAAAGACCAGTCACTGCTGCTCTCTCTCCTTGTGCAATTTGACTGGTCTTGTCTCAGCCTCTTCCTGTAATAAAGACCGGTCACTGCTGCTCTCCCTCCTTGTGCTGTGTGACTGGTCTTGTCTCCTCCCCTTCCTGTAATAAAGACCGGTCACTGCTGCTCTTTTCTTGTGCAGGTGACTGGTCTTGTCTCTTCCCCTTCCTGTAATAAAGACCAGTCATTACTGCTCTCTCTCCTTGTGCAGGGTGACTGATCTTGTCTCCGCTCTTTCCTGTAATAAAGACCAGTCACTGCTGCTCTCTTTCCTTGTGCAGAGTGACTGGTCTTGTCTCTGCCTCCTCCTGTAGTTTTCTGCAGGCAGCCTGTAGTGGGTGGAGTCTGATGGGCCCCTCCCACAGCTCTGCTCTATGCACAGACTATGTACAGCACAGTGATGATGTCACTGCTTCTTTTATAATGTAATAACTGGACTTGCAAAGGTATTTGTGTGTTTATTGAGTTTTTGTGCCTGGAGTTCAGCTTTAGTTACACTCTGTAAGTGTTTCTTCTATGTGCACTTTCTGTAAATTCTTTGTGTGACGAGGGCTATAAATAGAGGTGAAAAGTGGTGAGAAAACTCACAGTGACGGTGTTCTTCAACCTCTTCTCTTTGCAGACATTTCAGAGTCAGCTAGATGAGCTGGAGAAGAAGAAGCTGAACAAAGAGGAGTTCATGTTGGAACTTAATCTGGTGGGTGTACAATGCTGGAAGCAGGTTGGGATCAAAGACGATCTAAACCCCAACTAGATGACATTTAGTTCACTAGAGCTCTGTGTATTCTAAACAATTGCCAGATTTTTTAAAATAAAATACTTCTTTTCCCTATCTGTAAAAAATAAATCAAGGCAACTGGACTTGCTGTATTTTACTTGAAGACGTCTTGCTGGTCATCCAACCAGCTTTCTCAATTCAGAATGACTTGTACATTCAGAATTGAGAAAGCTGGTTGGATGACCAGCGTGACGTCTTTAAGAAAAATAAAGCAGGTCCAGTTGCCTTGATTTATTGTTTACACATATACCATGTGACCTTTATGAATGAGAACCTTCACATTCACTTCTTTTCCCTGTTTTCATCCTTTTCTGTATCTCTGTGCTGCTGATTTTTTCCAGCCTCTGTCAGCCATTTATGTTGCACAGGAATGTTGGATGTATGTCATTCAGGATAGCTTGAGGTACTGCAAAAGTAAGGTATGGATTGGGATGCAGAGAAGCAACTGAGATGGACCAGGAAGGTGATTATGTACAGCCATAGCGGCAAACCTGAACAGCTGTGTAAATGTTGAGCGGAAGTACATCTCTGGAGAAGAACTTGATGAGTGTAGAGAAAGAGGCGCAACTCTAGAGAAGTCACCAGGTGATGTAGCTGTTGTGAAGACGATACGTTTTATCTACACTGACCTGGGATGTCTCCACCGATGCACCTCTTGCCTACATGAACGTTTAACGTTCATATAGGCAGGAGGTGCATCGGTGGAGACATTCCAGGTCAATGTAGATAAAAGGCGCAGCTCTAGAGAAGACCTGGACAAGTGCAAACATAAAGTATATGTGACAGAGGATGTGCCCCGGATAAAGGTGTTTAGAGATATCGTGGAACTTTCACCCGATCTTGCTGTTCATTTTGTATTGGGGAATGTGCATATGTCTGTAGGCCTTCCCCAATGCCAGATGGTTGAGCCTACAAGGGAAGACTCTATCAGCCAGGATGGATTTTCCCAGACAATTGCTGTTGTTTTTCTTTATTAGTTAGACTGAAGAGCTCCCCTTTCCAAAAACTACTGTTTAGTAGCTGGATCTTGTATGCCACCTCTGGAGCAATTACATATTAGTTCAGGCAAGAGGTGTTCTGGTTTGGGGCTGCCCTGGGCAAGACGAAACTCAGGCGCCCCACCCCTTCCTGTTTTTGACTTTTTGCGTAACCTGTCAGTCACTGGATACAGTGCACAAACGGAGCCCACCATAGATCCCGCAGAGCCCACTATAGACCCTGCAGAGCCCATTACAGACCCTGCAGAGCCCCCCAGAGTACCTGCAGAGCCCACCGTAGACCCCACCTCATATCCTGCAGAGCCCATCTGAGACTTTCACTACCGGACCACCCAGCCTCCTCCACCGCCCGTCTGGCACTTCCAGGTCCCAGCCTCCTCCGTGCCCGACTTGTGCTTCGGGACAGGCGTTCTCCGTCGCCCGTCGGGGATCCGGACCCGCCCCCTTATGGGGATCTGGACCCGCCCCCTACTGCCGCTCCTCCTCTGCTCCTCTCCTCGCCTCCACCTCCGACTCCTTGTCCCGCTAGATTAGGCTGCCGAGGCTGCTGAATTCTGTGCAGCACGGCTTGCCTGACTGTTTTGGGGGCTGCATTTTTGCCGCACCCCTGGAAAGTGCCGCCCAAGGTAAACGCCTTGTTTGCCTCGCGGCAGATACGCCCCTGGCTCCCCTACCATAGACTGTGAACCACTTCAGCAGTAGAAGTTAGAGGTCCTGCCCATCTCCTGCTAAAGCACCCTAGGTGGCTGTCTCTTTTCCCTACCCCTTGGCCCAGCCCTGTGGATGAGTGATGCAGCTCTAGAGAAGTCCATACAGAAGTTGAATTTCCACTAAAGTGGAGATACGGATCTCTAGATTTCCCAGATAAGTTGATAAAGTATGTATAGATCTAGTGTAGACCTTGATAAGCATTTACATTGATGCAGCTCTAGTGAAGACCGTGCTGATTATAATATATAGACATAGTTAGGTTGAAAAAAATACCAAGTCCATCAAGTTCAACCCATATCCTGGACATCCTGGAGAAGATTTGAAGTTGTGTACTCGATGAACTTGTGTCTTATTTCTACCTATCTATACCTATACGTAACTATGTGTATACATCTAAAGACCTGGATGTGAGTAGTCATGAGCTCAAAGGAATTCATTTACTGATATTATCTTGACAGAAAGCTGAAAAGCGGGCACTGGAAGCCAAAGTGGGCCACGATGAACTGGAGGCCGCTATTAGTGAGGTCAATGCCGTACTGGAGGATCTGATTAAGAAACTGGCCATACAGGAGTCCGAGTGGCAGAATATGCTGCAGAAACTGCTTGCCGGGCTGGAGGCCAAGGTAACACATCTGTCACATATGGCATGGACACCCAACATAGGCACATAGCACATCATAGAGATATAATCAACTGGTATATTTAAAATGCTTCATGGTTACTCCAGATTCTGAGATGGGACAGGTACACTATGAAGCCCATTTTTCCAGGTCATAGGTTACTGTATGGCAGTGCAGTTTTGTTGACTTTGTAAACCACAATTATTTCTTATCTTGTTTCCATACAGTTGATCAGGAAATACCCTTTAAGATAGGTTGGAATTTAAAGGGTATTTTCATCTTTGCAGTCAAATTTGGGAAACCCCCCTCTATATGTTAATTATGTGTTTCCATGTTCCCATTCACACAGCAAACCTAAAATAATAAAAACTGAACACTGTTGGTAGCGTCTATTGCCTGGAATAAATGGCAATGCTGAGATATGGGACAACTAAGGGACAGTTTTTAAGTAAATATAATGTACCTCCCAAGCCTTGAGATCTTTACCCCTTTGTTAGGACAGACCCTGTGCAAATCTAGGTAGCAAAGTACACAAGGGGTTTATTTATGGCAAATATTACTCCCCAACCCCTTCATAGACATTGCATAGAAGGGGAAAACTAAGCAGGATTTTTCAGCCCTGGGGGTTTCAGGAAAAAAACAACAACAATTTCACTCCCAGAGCTGTTTAAAAAAAAAGAGACGTATGGGGTAAGTGTTTTTCCCTCCTCCTCCCGTGACCCAAAGCTCAGTATCTCGAGAGCTACAGCTCGCGCTATACTGAGACCTCCGCAGCCGGGATGGATCCTGACAATGTTGTCGAGATCCACCCAGCTGCGTGATTGACAGCTGGCTCTGCCTATCTGGAGGCAGAGCCAGCTGTGCCCGCCCCCTCCCCCGTCCGTTCCTCCAGTCAAAGTTGGAGTATCGGGCAGGGGAGGGATCCATGCGGGGAGCTATGACTGACAGTCACCACTCTCTGAAGGGACATGATCGAGAAGTGAGCGAGCGACGCTATGTGTTTGCTCACTTCCCGATCTATAGAGCCGACGTGTGACAGTTTAATTGTCACACGTTGGCTCGAACTTTGAGGCTGAGTGATTTTCACTCACCTCATAGTTCTCCTTTAAGGCCTGAAAATTACGTAAACAGAGAATTGTATATTTTCAGAAAGCAGAAAGACTGAATAAAATGGTGGCAGTTGTAAATTTGTATGTTGCATGATATTGGTGCAACTCTTCAAATTCAAAATTTCAGTAAAAAAAAACACAAGTTAATTTTAGTGTACAAAAACACAATATATTACCACATTTGCGTGCGCCCATGAAATGGCAAGAAAATACGGTACCCCAAGTTGTCCATGGGTGACGCTTTAAAAGTCTATACAGGTGATCAGTTTAGAGTCAACCACAACTATTGGCCCCGGAATTATTGCTCTAGCTCTGTTACACACAGCGATACCTAACATGTGCGGCACAATCGACGTTTTCGTACGTAGGTGCACTCGAGTCGTGTTTGTGTTAGCATGTGCGTGTATGCAAGGACGGAGGACTTTAAAAAATGTTGGGTGTTTTTACATTTCTTTTATTTAAGTTTGTTTTTAAACTTTTTTTTTTTTAACTTGAAAATCACTCATCTCATAGTTCTCCTTAACCTTATTGCCATCACATAGGGGGGCTCACAAGCCCCTTTTGTGATAGCACTTTAGTGATGACAGGTGCTCTTTAAGGAAACATTAGGGGTCTATTAGACCCCTAATTATCACCTTTGTAGCCCATTGAAGCTGATTAAACACTGATCTTACTTGATTGGCTTCTTGCCCGCCTTCTGTAGCCAGGGAATGACAGCAGAGGAGCCGGAGGTAATGAAACCAGCGTCGCTTCCAGTTTCATTCAGCCGGGAGGAGATCAGTGAACTTACGTATATCTCCCTCTACCACCGGTCTATCTCCATCTACCACCGGTCTATCTCCATCTACCACCGGTCTATCTCCCTTTACCCGCCAACACTCGTGATGCCGGTCCCGGGCCTGCAGGAGGGGCAGCAAAGCCTGGGATGCAAGACAGGGAGTGTTGAGTTGGGGGTGGAATTTTTCATTGACATTACCATATTAAAGTTTCTATCAGAAGAAAGTGATTGGGTTTATATTATCTTTAGGCTGATTATATTCACAAACAAAAATTTAAAACAAATGTAAGATATGTACATGGAATCCCTCTAGTTTTGGAGCATTTTCTTATGATCATTTGGGGTTTTCCTTGCAGTTTGTTTGTGTCACACTTTAACACAATGGAGGAGGTGAAACGGGAACAAAAGGTCACTGTACCATGTTCATTTCCTGATAGTCTTGAGATCTGTTTATTTTGCTCTTTGTTTTGACTCCACCATAGAACTGAGCAATATGAATCACCAAGAGGCGAGTCAAGTGTTATACTTCCACCCGGGAGAGATGAGACGCAGGTCTGCAAGTCCCATGATTGGATCACACGTCACGGCTCAGGGAACACACATAGACTTCATGTCAGTTTAATCTGCTGCTTCCCCTCTCCTTAACATTCCATTTTCATTGCATACCTTATGTTACACCCAGTCATGTCATCACTGAGTCTTCTGAATTTGGCTGGTTATGGACATCAAGAACGTCTCTAAGAAAATTCTGGGCCACCAGGTCCAGGTCCATAGTTGTCTCTTCATAACTCTGAAATGTTTCTGCTTTCAGCTGAGCCAGTCAGATTTGGATTCCATACAGAAAGACCTAGAGGAGTTGTGGAGGCTCCTCAAGAAGCATCTTAGCTCCAGTCAAGCCTTTGACCCGGATGGGGCGGCTGGATCTAGGAAGTGAGTGAACATAGGAGGACCATGGACCATCAGGAAGTCACTTATTGTAGGACAATGTGGAAAGCTGTGAACCCGGGGGCCATTTTGACTCACTTTTTGGTTGGCAGTCTTCCGCTTGGCTCCTTTGATTTTTCAATTGAAGTTAGTCGAGCCGGGTGGGGCCACCAGGGCCATCCATGGCTCAAATGTTGCCTGATTTGCAGGAATTGGCTGAAAGTCGAGCTGTGTATGGGCCAGCTTGAGAAAGAAGACCATACTTACCAGGGACGTCCCTAGGCTTTTCACCACCTGAGGAGGGGGGGGGAAGAGAGTGTGCTGGTGGTGCACACTAACCAGGGGGCACCAACCAGAACATCCTGCTCAGCTCCTGGCAACCAGTGACATCACTGATTGCCAGGAGCTGGGCGGGATGCCGGCAAGAGCATCTCCCTACCATGCTGCTCTGCATTTTCCCTAGAGTTCAGCTTTAATTCAGCAGAATTAAGAAGGTTTAGAACATCTGTCTGAACAAAAGAGCACAAAAGGGCGCAAGGCAAAGGCCTCTTGCGCCCTTTTGTGCTCTTTTGTTGTTATAGTTACAGGTTCTCCTCCTGTTTACCAGGGACTGCAGGTTAGTTAGTTATCCAATTGTTAGGGTCTCCATCCGGGAGCGCTGTTTGTGTTTTTTTGCTTTTTAGAACATCTGTCTGCCTGTCTTGGTGGCACCAGCACCCTCTTAGTTTTTATCCTAGTTATGGATGAGCTCGGGTTTTCACCAAACCCAAGCTCCTCCGAATCCAGAAGGTAGCAGTCAGTGCATGTCCAATCAGCTGCCTCCCTGGCATTCCCCGCCTTTAAGCTGCACATAAACAAAAGGGTGGGATGCTGGTGACATCATTGACAGGTCAGTGTCACTGACCAAACATAGCCATGTGGCCATATAAGGCCAATGATGTCACCAGCATCCCACCCCTTTGTTTACATGCAGCTGCAGAATGGGGCGCAGCTGATTGGGTGTGCACTGATGGCTTCCTTCCAGGTGTGGATGAGTTTGGGTTCAGTCAGAACCCGAGCCCTAATCCTAGTGTCACTGGGACAGGAAGTGAAGGAAAGCAATCCCAATGTAGACAAAAGCACAATAAGAAGCTTTCCAATCAGTTAAAAACCGAAAAAGAGGGATCATGAGGGAGACATGGGGGGTCAGCTGACCTCCTTCTAAATGCTAGCGCAGAGAAGGAGCTCCAACATTTCTCCCACTTTCTGCATACTTGTCCCAGTCTCCACATATCTATCAGACGCGGCCCAGACTTGTTCAGGCTTATCATTTAATGCTGTAAAAGGACAACGCCAAAAAACAAAAGAGTTAGCGCTGGCCTCCCCCGCAGAGACGCTAATCCCTAGCGAGCCCCATCGTCAGGGATACGGGCTCAGCTGACCGAGCCGAGGGCTACGCAGCACGTGACAGGTCCTCTTCGCATCTCATTGAAACTAAGAGCCGCTTTATTTGCTTATCCGCAGGAAACTGTTCGAGAGAGTCAAATGCATTTCTTGTGATCGCCCGGTTACCATGGCCACGGGCCCGTGAGTAAACAAACACTTTACTGCTAAGCTGCCTTCCCGCGCTGTCCCGTGGGGTCTGCTGCGGTGTTTTCACCTCATGTTTTTCCCTTTTTCTGCCCTGACATCACCCTGAGGTTTCCTATGGATGATATTTGCCTCTGCAAATTGTTTTGTTTTATTTTTCAGGCACCTTGTCACGGTCCGTACAGTGCCTCTAAACCCGCGTGACCGTCCGCACAGCGCTCAATTCGGCAAGGATAAAAGCAGCGGGTGAGAGATGGATTTGTGTGCCTTCCTTTTTCATAATCTTTCATTATAAAGAGAACCCATGCAGGTCAAAACAACAGGTCCACTTTACTTCCACCATCACCACACATATACAGTACTTTCCGTTTGGCCCTCTGCTGCTCCATCGGACTTCCAGGAGTGGAAATAAATACCCAATACTTCTGCATATGGAGAGCATGTGACTCACTCCCTTTCCACCCACGTGACAACACTGGTGATTGGCCACTTAGGCACCCAGCGTTGTCATATGGGAGCAGGAAGAGGGTCTTTTGCCCTGTGCAAGCTTCATGTTGTGACTAGGAGCTTACATAGGGATAAGGGCCCCATTCACACTATAGCGTTGTGTTAAGCACATGATACCGTGTGATTAACGCACACCGTTGCCTAGTGCACCGAGCATGTGTTACCATGTGCTAGGTGCAGGACCGGATTTCCCGCAGGGCCAACCTCGGCTTCGGGGCAGCAGGGAGTAGAGGGGAAGCAGGGATGTGGAATTCCTAACTCCCGATGCCCGGGACATGCAGTTCTAGGCGCCGGGCGGGTAGTTGTTTTCAAAATTTAGCCCTGCTATGGGCAAGCAGAGCTAAATGTACAGCGGGGAAGCCGACCGCTTGTTTGGTTTGCAGCCTGCAGGTCTGCTATTCTCCATGGGGGCTGGGGGGCTTTGGCGGGTAGGGGGGCGCATTGAGGAACCTGGCCTTGAGGCAGCAGAGAGAGTAAATCGGGCACTGGCTAGGTGCATTGCGTTGCCTTTGATGCGACTGCCACCACTAAGCCATTCTGCTAAATCCACCATGTCTGTCCTGTTTTACTAAGCAACTCCATAAGGAGCAAAAAACAAAAATTTAAGGACCAAGGGATAGCATTTGAATGGCATCCCAACACACCTCCCGGCCACTGTGCATTGCAGCGCAATGGAGGGTACCACAATACCATGCATTGTGGTGCCGTGAATGCATGCACTTTTGTTCACCACACCACAATGCACGATATTACGGTACCACTCACGGCGCTGCAATGCATGGTGGCCGGGAGGTGTGTTGGGGTGCCATTCAAATGCCATCCCTTGGTCCTTACATTTTTGGTGTTTGCTCCATAGGGTGCAGTTTAGTAAAACAGGGCAGACATAATGGAATTTCCTGAATGGCTTAGCTCATACACTTGAAAAGCAAATCATTAACTTAGCACTGCAGGTTTACAAACCGTACATTGCTCCCCTCCCTCCTTCACAGTTGACTGCAACAAGATCCAAGAAAGTGTTTAGGATGTGGACGCACTCTATCACCGTATGTTCAGCCTTGCAGTGTATTACCTTGGCCTACCAGCTTTCTGCATTTCCCCCCCGGCTCTGATATATTACCGTGCATGGGTGTACAGAACCCTCAGTGTTGTCATTGACTACACACAGAGGGCTCTGTTTGTGAAAGATCAGACCTGCTAATGATGTTCCCTTCACCCAGAATGAACTCAGGCACTGCACATGAGGCATGAATACATAATATAGGGTCATCACAGCTACATTCTATGAAGAGTACAAGCAACAAAATGCTTCAAGGGTCAGTCCACTTTACACTAGTATATTAGTGTTTGGTATGCTGGAGCATTAAGCCACTTAAGAGAATCCTCTATCTCTTGGGGATCTATTGCTAAGATCTCTGCCCTGAGTTCCTGGGTCTACACCTTCTGTGCCCACTATGAGGGGCATCCCTGTGCTGAGTTCCTGGGTCTAGGGGTTCCCACCATCCTTGCACTGGGTTTCTGGGTCTGCACACCATTATGAAGGGTTTCCAGTATCCCTGGGTCTTTACACCTGCTCTGCCCATTATGAGGAGTTCCCACCATGCTTGCACTGGGTTCCTTGGTCTGTACACCTGATGTGTCCATTATGAGGGGTTCCCACCATACCTAAACCGGGCTTCTGTGTTTGCACACCTGCTGTGCCCATCCTGAGGGGCTCCCACCATCCCTGTGCTGAGTTCCTGGGTCTGTACACCCGCTGTGCCCATTACGAGGGGTTCCCACCATCCCTGTGCTGAGTTCCTGGGTCTGTACACCTGCTGTGCCCATTATGAAGCGTCTCCCACTATACCTGTTAGATTTGTATTAATTTTATATTATAGAGAATGTAACAGGAGTTTCTGGGACAAACAAAGGTGGGCAGAACCTGGAATTCTCACTGCTGGAGGCCAGGTGTCTACTCAACTCGCTAGTCTCCACCTATCTTGGGTTGGCTGACCCTTGAAGTGCTATCACCCATCCACCCTGCACTGGTCTGACCTCCACACACAGTGTACATTCGGACTCCAATGCCATTTACTCTTTGCCTTGTTTATTGAAAACCGCCTCCTATCTTTATTCCAGAGATAGATTACCACTGCTTGTTACCCACCACATTCATTGCAAAGCCAGTCTTCCATCGTCCACCAGTATGAATATTCTGGTTTCATACATCTTAAGATTGTTACATGAGTTTGCTGCTCCTTATCAGATGTAGAAGATGAAAATGTGTTATCATGGAAAAGTTCTGATGTGTAGAACATATGTGTGAGAATACGGATCGACAGACTTTGGGCTTCTGTTGATGGCATCATTTTGCCACCAGATACACTTCTGAGATAATTCAGAATTTATTGACAGGTGCAGTTGACCTGCTTCTGACTTCTATTTGACCTGCTTCAAGCTGGTTTTCCTTTCACATAGACTTGTATGGCAATGCAAAACAAAATCAAACAACGGGCCCTTAGGCTCGGCCTAGGCGTCATGTCTGCACACTTTAATGTTGTGTCTCTCTTGCTTTCAGTGACCCCCAACAGGTAACAGACCCTGAATTCCAGTACACAGAGTCACCGAGACCTAACACGTCCTGCTCACTGCACAGGAAGACCCCCCGCAGCCAGAACCTGACCACCGTTTACCCCTATGGCGACCCGGGACAAATACAGTACAAAAATGTAAGAACGGACATTGAACTGGGAGGCGCACTTCCCGTTATGTGGAGTAGACACATTTATGATGGCTGAGCTTATGCACGGGCAAGTCTAAAATGTCTTCTGCATCTCCTTGTAGAAGCGGGGTACCACAATGTGCATTGGGATGGGCCGCAGTACGGGTGCATTGGCCACTAATGTAACAGGGCCTTGGGGGACCATTCAAAATGAACAGTACCAGCAGCAAAATGCAGGTTATTAAAGGGTCAGCCCACTTGAAACCATTGTTTTAGGGTTTCGCAGATGCTGGAGAGTTACAATTGGACATACGGATCAAATGTTGGCCATTTCCAGATCCAAGGGATGGTTTATCAATTGACATCTGTCGAAAAGAGCCATTTGGAAATTTGGCAACTGAACAGCCAATAATCATCTGCAAGAGATATCGGCTCCTGAGTGCTTTTTGGCCAAAAGCATTTAATATTGCCCCATAGAAAGGACATAAGGGGACCATTCCTCAAAGGCTGGGATTGGAGTCGTTATGGCCATCCTAAGACCCCCTTGAAACTTTGAACACATTGCAGTAGCTTCCCATGCGTTTTATTCAGCGTGTGCATTGCAGTGCAATTATTTAGAATGGCATCACAATGCACAAGTATGATAGATGCCAGCGAACCTGCATTGCAGTGCATCCCAACACATATTCTGTTTATTGTGGTGTGTTCCTTTAAAAATAAAAGGTACAGGTCTGGTTTTTCTTTTGCTGCTGTGCATTGGCAGGGCATTGCCATATATTGCTGGCTCCAGAACAGCCTAGCATTAAGGGGGCCCCAGTGTGGCTCAGGGCTACTGTCAAAGAGGCTCCTGCATCTCAGAAGCTTTGGAACTTCCACGATCACGGCAGTTTTACCAATCCTTCCAGATGTTAAGTAGGCAATTATTTTAATGGTCAGTTTCTGACTTACAGAGCGAGTTTGACTTGATGGGAATCGACGGCGCCATGTACAAGGGCCGGATAGATACGAGTTTCACCAACAACGTTCCAGAGAGGGAAGCGGCAGGTGAGTGTGAGCTCTGCAGCCCAGTCCTAATTTCCCTCACCCTTCAGAATTCTGGGTGACTCCTTTACTCTCTTTGCCAGTGAAAACCCCTCAGCCACCCTACAGGACATCAATAGAGAGGACCCGTTCTGCTGCCCCGCTCTTCAGAAGCCACAGCGCCTCCAACACACGTGAGTAGCGACAGGCATGGCTCGTTCCACATGCTCCGGGACACACTGACATGTTAGGGGAGCGTAAAGAAGACATTATAAAGGTTAAAGTCCAGCTAAGCTTTTAATTTATATTAGCCACATACATTCCGGGTGCATCCAAACCAAAGGTGTGCAAAGTCTGACAGTTGTTTTTCTTTATAAATCTGCCAGATCCTGAGTAGAAAAGCCTGTCCCGTGCCAGCATGCTGCAGAGAAGGACCTTTGTTTTCTATGGGGAAGCAGTGGTCTCTCTGCAGAGATCAGCGGGGGGTGTGAGCTTTGTTGGTTGCAGAGCAAGGCTAAGTGACAATGTCTCTGCAATGGTCTTATGTCTCATGCTGAGCCTTAATCATGACATACAGTACATGTGGGTGTTGCTTGCATAGACTTTCTTGTATGAAATTTAGATATGTATGGAGGAGGTTCCTTGTATACTGACATCTGGCTGTAAAGATCTATTGCTGTCCGTCTGGGGGCTGTCCTTTGTCCTGTGACCATTGTTTCCAGAAATTGAATGGAAAGCCAAACTTTTACACTTGTCAGCAGAACAGGAATAGAGGGGTTGTTTCTGACAGCCTAGGTTGCTTTCTATTCTCACACGGCAGTGCTGTATGGTGGCAGAGCTGAGTAACAGCCACACCCCCTAACACGTAGAGAAAAAGAGGGGGCGTGTCTGACCAGGTCTGCTACTGAATGCTGATTACTGGGTGCACTGGGCCTAACTCTGCTGCCTGCTGGGGCTCACTGTCATATTTAGACACCTTGAACATCTCCTGTAACAGGCAAGTGGAGGTAAAACTATAAAAATGCGTGTTGTCAGTACAATGTCTAGACGATTACTTATCTACAGCTGGGCTTTAATATCCGCTGAAGCTTTAGGCTGCATTCACATATAGCGTTTGCGGTCCCCGCATGGAACGAAAACGCTCATATTTTAAAATCCGCATGGATGCCGCTCATTTGCCGCTATTAAATAGCCGCGAACGTGCGTAATCCGTCGGATTATCGCGCTTGTACTATTTCAGCGGCGCCGCGTGGTTTCCTGCCACACAGTCCCTGCAATGGTCTGAACAATGCACATTGAAGTGCATTGCATTTTCTGTTTAAATCGGCTCCGCGCGTATCCGTACAGCCGAATACGCACGGACAGCCGCTCAGGTGTAAACGGAGCCTGAGAAAACATTTCTTTGCTGAGATTAATAATGTCCCCTCTTCTATGGACAGGAACACCAGTTCCCTCTACACGGACATCGCGCACCAGCATACAAGTGCCATCCACCCCGGACACCTCACCACCCACGTTCCATGTGCCATCAGCCACAGACTTATTCCAACGGCCAGTAACCAGCGAAGAGCAGCCGCATGACCCATAAAGAAGGCTGGACGGGCCAATAGGTGTGCAGATTATTGTCCGAAAAACTCTGTTCCTGTTGTGACCGGCTCCGGGGCGTTCTGTCACATGACTTTCAGATCTTTATTTTTTTATTTTATTTTTCCTCCAGTGTATATATTCAATAAAGCCAAAATCTGTATGTTATAAATCAGACAACCTTACAGACATTTTGTGTACACTTCCGACTTCAACCGTTCCATCAGTAAGAGGGACAAACTATATTTAGATTTATGATAACTTATTGCCTTTCACTTTCTTTGTCCCTCAACCTCCTTCCTCTGTTCCGCGCAAACATTGTACACGTAGCTGAGAAAGTTCCCTTGTCACTCTACTTCCTTCAACGGTGTCACATGCACAATAGGATCGCACACACAGCCAATGGAGAGCTGCAGAATGATAGCAATCCATGTTGAATCTGACCTCCGGCCTCCCCTTGTACCGGCTCCTCTCCTGGACTGACATGGCTTCCTCTGATGTCACTGCTCACTGGGAGATCCTCATAATGTGCATTAGAAGTCACATAGAGCCCGCCTCATTTCCTGGCTGGAGGAGGTCCAGTATCCTCTAGTTCTTTTGTCCCACCCTGTCACCTGAGTGTCACTGGCCCACCACTGTCATTTATGGAGGCTCAGCATCACACGTGGGCGTTACCTAGGAAGGTCTGCATGTAAATACAGCCTGCTTAGGAACGCCCACTCCTCCAGAATGACAACTCCCCCCATAAAGGAATTTACATAACTCCTCCCAAGAGCCAGCCCACTGCTTGCATCAGGGCCCTTGAAAGGAGTACTAAGGCAGGGTACTGTTATGGTAGACCAGACAAAAGGTGGGGCGTAGGCAAGACCAGTCACCCAGCACATGGAGAGAGCAGCAGTGAGTGGTCTTTATTACAGGAGGGGGTGGAGACAAGACCAGTCACCCAGCACATGGAGAGAGCAGCAGTGACCTGTCTTTATTACAGGAGGGGGTGGAGACAAGACCAGTAACCCTGCACAAGGAGAGAGAGCAGCAGTGACTGGCCTTTACTTCAGGAGGGGGGCGGAGACAAGACCAGTCACCCAGCACATGGAGAGAGCAGCAGTGAGCGGTCTTTATTACAGGAGGAGGGCGGAGACAAGACCAGTCACCCTGCAAAAGGAGAGAGAGCAGCAGTGAGCGGTCTTTATTACAGGAGAGGGAGGAGACAAGACCAGCCACCCTGTACAGGCAGAGAGATCAGCAGTGACCGCTCTTTATTACAGGAGGGGGCGGAGGCAAGACCAGTCACCCTGCACAAGGAGAGAGAGCAGCAGTGACCCGTCTTTATTACAAGAAGCACCTGCATGGAGGTAGGGGTTGTTTAATGTTGCATTACTGCACAGATCTGGAAGAAGGACACACGGGGGACCATGATCATCCTTCCCTGACCGCCTGTCTTAAGGAATGGCTGTACAAAGCTTCCTTCAGCCCCCTGATAAGTGCACTTAAAAAGGTAAACCAAACACAAGAAAGAACAAAAACAGGACATCGTTCCCCTTTTGTGACGTGTAAAAGTTTAAAATATTTATTGTCATCAACTCTTAAAACCGCTACAGGAATGTCCGTATTAATTGGGGATCCCCGATCAAAACGTATCCCTACACCGCTTTCGGTAAGCTCCGCAAAGGCTTCGAGGCCTGGAAAATACTCGGCACCAGCATACGGCACAGTATGAGGTATGGCTGAAGAGCGGGCAGCTCTGTAGTGAGTGTTAGTTAGGGTGGAAGATGGAGCTGGTGCAATGCTCTGCAGGCAAGTGAGGTAAAAAGAGATTATCCGAAAGAAGGTCTCCGCCACTGCTTAGTATTGCTAAGGATGAGATACCGGGCGCCTCTATGGAGCAATACTCGGAAGGCTTTTTTGGCAGTTCAGCCGGCTACATGAAGTCTACATGCCACATCCTGCCCCCTTCGTGCTGTCCTCCGTATCTCATCTCTCGGCCTCCGCTGCTGGATTCGCCTCCGCACCTCGGCTGCCGTTGGAGTTCTGGGCACCTCCGGGGCAGTTGAAGCCCATACCCGTTTGCTGCACTCTTGGATCGTGAGAGAAATGAGCGCTGCCCTGCTGGAGAGGCGGGGACGTGGCCAGCGAGGAGAGGTAGCCGCTTTCTGAAGCTTTCAGGCGGGAAAACATAGTCAGGGTGTCTGGAAAGTTGGGAGGGGTGGCAGGAGTGTTGGCAGGAGTGCCCATCTGAAAGGAGAAGCAGGAGACTTTAATTTGTGTACCGGTTTAGCTTACTACCCCCTACTGAATTCCAACCTAGATCACAGGAGAGGGGCTATTAGAAGAAATACACTATATGGCCAAGAGTCGGTGGACACCTGGCCACCATACTTGCTATATGGCCAAGAGTTGGTGGACACCTGACTACCATACTTGCTATGTGGCCAAGAGTTGGTGGACACTTGACCACCATACTTGCTATATGGCCAAGAGTTGGTAAACACCTGACCACCATACATGCTATATGGCCAAGAGTTGGTGGACACCTGACCACCATGCTTGCTATATGGCCAAGAGTTGGTGGACACCTGACCACCATACTTGCTATATGGCCAAGAGTTGGTAGATGCCTGACCACCATTCCTGCTAAATTGGCCAAGAGTTGGTGGACACCTGACCACCATACTTGCTATATGGCCAAGAGTTGGTAGATGCCTGACCACCATACCTGCTATATGGTCAAGAGTTGGTGGACACCTGACCACCATACCTGCTATATGGCCAAGAGTTGGTTGACACCTGACCACCATAACGGCTATGTGGCCAAGAGTTGGTGGACACCTGACCACCATACTTGCTATATGGCCAAAAGTACGTGGACATCCCTCCAAATGACTGAGCTCAGGTGTCTCCAGTGAAGGGTTCTGTTAATGCTACAGCATAGAAAGACATTGTAGACAATCCAACCTTTGGTGAAGGCCCTTTTCTGTTCCAGCATGACTGAACCCCTGTGTACAAAACCAGCTTCTTAAAGACATGGTTTGACCAGTTTAGTGAGGAGGAACTCAAGTGGTCTGCACAGAACCCTGACCTCAACCCTACTGAACACCTCTGGGATGTATTGGAGTGCCAATTGCGAGCCAGGTCTTCTCATCTAACATCAGGACCTGACCTCACAAATGTTCTTTTGGCCAAATGGGCAACAATGACCAAAGACACACAGACAAACTCTTGTGAAAAGCCTTCTCAGAAGAGAGGAGGATGTTGTAGCCACCAAGAGGAGGCCAACTTCATATTAAGACCCATGGTTTTGGAATGGGAAGTCCAACAAACTCATATAGATATGATGGCTAGGTGTCCTCAAGCTCTTGGCCATATAGTGTATCTACAATAGTCCCATAACATAACCCCGCTACAATATTATAATGATCAATTTATATAAAGTCAACGCGTTCCGCAAGTGAGGACACCAAGGGTAAACCAGGAACATAAACAGTTCAATACGACCCAGAGAGCTTCCAATTTTGAAGGAGAAGGGATTGGAGTTTTGGAAGGGCTAAAGGGAGTTGTAAATAAGGATCGGTGGGATTGGGAGAGGAATGTCTTGAGTTGCGTTATTTACCTTTCTGAAAAGATATGTTTCCTGGTGACTTCATGGCAGGATCAAGGGTATGCCGCCATGGATAGGCACCAGGAACGGAAAATTACTGGTAAGTAAAAAAGAAGAATTATCTGTAAAGATTAAGTCAAGGCAACTGGACCTGCTGTATTTTTCTTGAAGACGGTTCGCGGTTCAACACCGGGTTGTGACACATGATGTGGATTGGAGCAACATTCACCATATTTATTTTCAGAGAATTTTTTGTACAAGTCATTCCGAATTGAGAAAGCTGGTTGGATGACCAGTGAAACGTCTTCAAGAAAAATACAGATAATTCTTTTTGTATCATACTTACCAGTAATTTTCCATTCCTGGTGCCTATCCAATGGCGGCATACCATTGATGCTGCCACGAAGGCACCAGGAAACCCATCTGTTCACAAAGGTAAATAACCCAACTGGTGGCAGTGACAGGAGCAGCTCTGCGTTCTGCATTCCGAAAGAGATGCAGACAGCGCAGCTGCTCCCGCAGGTCACGTACGCGGTTCGTGAACGCGTGCCTGACTTGTCAGCTGGCTGCGGGCCACATAGTACTGGTTCGTGGGCCAGGACTTTGAGCCCCCAATTTTCCACTTGCCCTCACTTTATTAGCACTCGACCAAATGCGAGCAGGCGAGTGGAGATTCGGAGCCCTGATATATGGCAAACTACAGATTTGTCCCAGGACAGTTACCCTTTAAAGCACGACAGGGGGCACGTTCAGATCTGATAGGGAGCCCAACAGCCAACAGGCTGACAACGCAATACTGCTAAATGGTCCAGTGTTGTCAGCCTGCAAGTTCTGTTACTGGCGGGATCTGCGAAGAGGAAACTTTGTAACAGATTCATACAAATGATTTCCTTATGAAGCCCAAAACACCGATATTTGGTATACATAAGACGCACCGTCAGGTTACCGAGCGGTGAGGGTCAGGGGTCATGTATATAAACTATTATCAGTCACTATGGCGCCACATTTAGTGGAATTTGTAATCTTTACAATAGAAGAAGCTCAGAAGACAGAAGATTGTCCAAATTCAATCATTTTCACCCAAACCCAGGACTACAGAACCCCTCCCAGTAGTCTTACCATTTGGTGGTGCGGGATGTACGGGTGACTGGACTCTTGGAAGAAGGCGCTCAGTGCGGTCTGCGGGGGAGGGGAGAGAAAGAGAGAACACCATGACGGTCATAAACTGGAATGACAATGGAGAGGAGAAAGGCTGCAGAGTGACAGGAGTAGTGGGAGGTATGAGGGGTGAAGGGGGCGGAGACCTGAGGGCATGAGTAGGGCAATGGTGAGAAAGAGGGGTCAAGTGGGGCAACAGCAAGGGAAGGGCTGAGCATCAACATTGACAAAGTCGCTGAGTCGGGTGATGTGAGAGAGCGACAGAGAGAGGGGGGTGAGCAAGCGTGATAGCAGGAGGGAGGGGCAAGCAGGTCAATAGCAAAAGAGAGGGGTGAGCAGGTCAGGAGCAAGAGAGAGGGACAAGTAGGCCAAGAGCAAGTAAGAGGGATGAGCAGAGCAAGTGAGAGGGGCAAGGAGGTCATGAGCAAGAGAGAGTGGTGTGATGTGAGTGATGTAAGTGAGCGTCAGAGAGGGGGTGATAGCAAGAGGGTGGGTTGAGCGAGTCAAAAGCAAGAGAGGGACGAGCAGGGCAAGAGCAAGTAAGAGGGATGAGCAGAGTAAGTGTGAGGGGCAAGCAGGGAGACAGCAAGAGAAGAGAGAGGGGCGAGCAGGGAGACAGCAAGACAGAGAGGTGGACATAGAGACAGCAAGAGAGAGGAATGAACAGGGAGACAGCAAAAGAGAGGGGCGAGCTAGGAGAAGAGGAGAGAGAGGGGCAAGCTGGGAGAGGGCAAGAGAGAGAGAGGGGCGAGCAGGGAGACAGCAAGACAGAGAGATAGGGGCAATAAAGTGACAGAGAGCTGAAAGTCTCAGAAGCGAACATTTTTGGGGTCCTCTGGATCACACCAGCAGCTGCTGCTTCAACTGCTCTATGTCACCAGACATCCCGCCGGAGGTCACACCCACAGCGCAAGACACGGCGGCTCAGTGACACCTGACAATCTGCGGGCGTAAACAAAGAGAAATGGTTGTCACAGGAGAGCACGAGAGACATGACAGAGACGTGACAGAGAGAGAGACACGACAGAGAGCGAGAGACACGACAGAGACATGACAGAGACACGCCAGAGACACGACAGAGAGCGAGAGACACAAGAGAGACATGACAGAGAACGACAGACATGACAGAGAGCGAGAGACATGACAGAGAGCAAGAGACACGACAGAGACATGACAGAGAACGACAGACATGTCAGAGAGCGAGAGACATGACAGAGAGCGAGAGACACGACAGAGACATGACAGAGAGCGAGAGACATGACAGAGCCATGACAGAGCCAGAGACACGCCAGAGACACGACAGAGAGCGAGAGACACAACAGAGACATGACAGAGCCAGAGACACGTCAGAGACACGACAGAGAGCGAGAGACACGACAGAGACATGACAGAGCCAGAGGCACGCCAGAGACACGACAGAGAGCGAGAGACATGACAGAGAGCGAGAGACACGACAGACACATGACAGAGAGCGAGAGACACAACAGAGACATGACAGAGAGCGAGAGACATGACAGAGACATGACAGAGAGCGAGAGACATGACAGAGAGCGAGAGACACGACAGAGAGCGAGAGACACGACAGAGAGCGAGAGACACGACAGAGACATGACAGAGAGCAGGAGGGAAGCCATCTTGTTCAGCACACAAGTCTCACAATATAAACACACGCTCTGCGATCTCACACACACACGCACGCACGCACGATCCCACACACGCCAGGCACCGTTCACCCGGCTCTGTACATACGTAACACACATGAGCGTCGCTGCCACAGCTCACACGTCTGTATGTAAACAAACACAATCCGAGCATTGTATGTGTGCTGCACGTTGCAACATGTACAACACGTTGCTGCAGAGGATCAGACGGGGCACACACACACACGCACGTGTACAGGACACACGTTGCTCCTAGAGACAGCTGAGGCCACCCACCGCCGTGTACACTCACACCTAGACGTGTATATGTACATATATAAACACAACACACACACGGCTCACTCACCGCCTCCCTGCAAAGCTGCCCATCAACCAGCTCCAGCCCCGGAGAGGTGTGGAGGAGCAAAGCATGCTGGGAATTGGAGTTCCTTTCTATTGCAAGTGGAAAAGAACACGGCTCTCCATTCACCCTTTCCACAGTCAGCGCGCGTCCTGCGTCCACCTCCTATCGGACACACAAGAAATACGTGTTCTGCATTAAATACAAAATATTTTTTTAAAAATGCATTTTGCATTAAATTAAGTAAAAAAAAAAGTGTTTCATATTGAATAAGATATTTAAAAAAAATTAAATGAAATAAGGGATTAAAAAAAATACATGTGTTTTGCATTCAACAATAAAAAGCTTGTTTTGTATTAAATAAAAAAATACATGTTTCATTTTAAATGAAAATTTTTTTTTTACAGGTTTTCACATTAAATAAAACATTGTGTTTTATATTAAATACATAATTTTTTTTTAAATACGTGTTTTGCATTAAATAAAACATTTTTAAAAATGTGTTTTGCATTTAATTAAAAAAATATAAAATCTATGTGTTTCACATTTACTAAGAAATAAAAAAAAATGTGTTTGCATTAAATAAAAAGTATGTTTAGTATGAATTAAAAAAAAAATAATTTTAAACAATAATAATTAAAAAAGAAGTTTCACAATAAATAAAACATTTTGAAAACGACATGTTTCACATTAAATAATACATAACAAATATGTATTTCGCATTACATGATAAATGAGAAATGTGTTTTGCATTAAATAAAAGATTAAAAAAAGTGTTTCATACTAAATATTTGAAAAAAAATAACATTAATTAATTAATAACTCCATGAAAACGCCCTACAACCTGAGAAGTCAGGTAGCGGCATTTCCCCCCTGAACCTCACATTTGGGGGCTTTCACAAGAAATGTGCAATGTGTACCCCGTGTACGTGAATGCAACATAACATGCAGGTTAGAGAATCACCTGCACACCACACAGCGCTCGTACCCAACGAAATATCCCTCGGTGCTCGAAATGACGACACGGATGGCGCCTAGGGTTGCCTCCCATCCCGGATCCACCTGGACATTCCGGGTTTTGAATCCTGTATGTCCGGGCTTAAAGGAGAACTATGGGGTCAGGGCTTTTCCCCATAGTTCTCCTTAGGGTAACCGGAGGACACAAACTAGCGTCCTCCCGTCACCCTAGGCTCAGTATATAGGGAGCTACAGCGACAATTATGTCTGGATCCGCCCAGCTGCGTGAGTGACAGCTGGCTCTGCCTATCTAGAGGCAGAGCCAGCTGTACCCGCCCCCTCCCCCGTCCGTTCCGCCGGTCAGCTCTGGAGGATCGGAGCGGGCAGGGGGAATCCAGCCCCTCCCCTGTCACGGCAGAGAGCCGTGACAGGATCGAGAAGTGAGCGAACCCGGTATGTGTTCGCTCACCTCCCGATCTACTGAGCCGACCTGTGACAGTCTCATTGTCACAGGTCGGCTAGAACTATGAGGTGAGTGAAAAGCAATCCCCTCATAGTTCTCCTTTAAGCTGGCCTGAAACCCAGACACAGCACATACAGGACTCAAAACCCGGACTGTCCAGGTGAATCCGGGACAGGGGGGCAACCCTAATGGCGCCGTGCAGCAATCCAGGTAAAGATAGTAGTCACCGGCGCGCACTTGTAATGTGCAAATGTATGGCACTTTTATTGATATGTCATGCGCGTCAAGAAGCCAACGTTTCGGGGCCGCGCAAGGTCCCTTCATCAGGGCGACATCGTGACGGAACTACAAATCCCAGCACACAGGCAAGCTGAGATTTAATTAAAATAGTAAATCAATTAGTAGTTATAAATAAACATATTTATTTTATATTTTTTATTTTCAATTATTTTAATAAATAAT